GAGAGGTAGAATCTCTGTGTGTATGAATGCAGTCTGGTGTTTGTAGAGATCACAGATAACAGCAGGACCGCCTGACTCCGTCTACTGTAGTAACACACAGAGTGTGTAGAAGTACCTCACACAAACACACTTCATAACATCAGTACTGTCCCCTTAAGTTGCATCATCAGTGGTCGTTGTGCTCGTCATGATGACAGGTGAAGTGTGTGAAAGGCAGAGCGGGTCAGAGGAGAGCACCTGGGCTGCCATGATCCTCATGGTGGGCTGCAGGTCCCTGAGGAGGTCGAAGCCTTGGTGGAAGAAGGTGAACTGAGCGTGGACGAAGGAGAACATCTGACGACAGACAGAAACACCACTATGACACCTAGAAGTGAGGCATTCATCAGGCTAGCAGGTTCCCCCTGCTTCCAGTCTTTATGTTAAGCTAGGCTAACTTCTGACTAAAGAACGACTCACTGAGTTCAAGATGTCGACTCTCTGCTGAGTCTTGAAAGTGTTGAGCTGAAAACAAAGAGAGCAGAAAGAATCAGTGTCTGATGTTCAGACACTGTGTGTGTGTGTGTGTGTGTGTGTGTACCTGCAGACAGTAGTCCAGGGCAAAGTGTTGGTAGCACTTGCGCGTGGCGAGCAGCAGGTGACTGGCCCGCTCTGCGTCAGCAGCTTTGTGTCGAGACACCTGAGCGCTCTTCAGCGCCGCCGTCTCCACATCCTCACCGATCCGCACAAACTCCCTCCTGGTCTCCACCAGCTGGGGCAGGAACCTCAGAGATGATACAACATCATCTTCATCATCAGCATCAGCATCGTGTGTGTGTGTGTGTGTGTGTGTGTTGGACCTACTGTGTGCAGAGGTTGGTCAGCTGCTGGCTGATGGCTCTGTGAGTCTGATCAAACAACATCTGAGGACAGACGACAGAGAGATCATCACCTGCAGCCCAAAGCACGGGACGTTAACCATACAGTACACAGAGCACAGGATGTGTGTGTGTGTGTACTCACAGTGTGGAAGCTCACCATCTCCTGAAGGCCCTGGTTGAACTGGTTCAGACAGTTCTGATGGGAAGGAAACAGGAAGTCAGTGAGAAACCTTTCACAATAAAACCATGAAAACTAAAAGCGGAGACGTTGACCGAGATGAGCAGTCACAGATCAATAATGTAATCAGGATGCATTCCACGGCACTCCATCAGCTCACTCTGGGCCAAGGGATGCCATTTTATTAAATATGAAATCAATCAATAAAAATGCCTATTACATAAATACATCACTATATGGACTCATGGTTTCAGCTGTTTTAATATAAACATTATTATATATGTTACACTCCACCACTGACTTCTACATCATTAGCATTAGCATTATTAGCTCCATACTGTGATGACGCCATCCTTCTTGTGGTGCATGGAGAGTTCAGCCAGGCCGCTCAGGAACAGCTGATTGGCTGCGCTGTACGCTTGTCCCGCCTCTACCATCTTACTGCACAGCTTCATCACCTGATTGGTCAGAGACACAGATTACAGACCAATGAGATCTCCTCACAGGTACAACATGGTTCATAAAGCAATGAGCAGACGTGTCTGTTGATGTAGGAACTGTTTCAGCCACATGCACTTGTACTTTACAGTAACAGTAGATGTAGTAGTACCAATATAAATACTGTTATTTGTATCAGTAACAGCAGTAGTGGTAATAGAAGCAGTAGTATTAACAGCTGTACTAGCAGTGATGTAAAGTTAGCAGAAGTATTTGTACCTTGTTTAGTTGTGTCTCGAGCACAGAAACATCCGCCTCGAACAGCTCGAGCTTCAGTCTGAACAAAATACACAAATCATCAGGACTTCTGCACATGCGCAGTTTGTGGATGCTAAGGTGTGTGTGTGTACTGTTACCTGAAGTCAGGTGAGTCTTTGACACACTCCTCAAAGTCCAGCAGCGAGTCCATGTTGTCTTCAGTTATTGTCCCCGAGTCAAAGTGTTGATAAAGTTTATTAAACCGTCTTCATACTGACCGTTAGCCTGTTAGCTCGCAGTTAGCCTGTCCATTCAGCAGCTCCACTCTCATTGCTCATGTTTAAATCCGATACACTTCCTCCACGAGCCGGATCGATACGTTTCAGATACGGCCGATCGATCAGGCATCGTGCACGCGCGCCTGCCTGTCACGCATGTTTGGATAAAAGTGACAATAAACGGTGTTTGGGATGTTTTCAGTGAGACAGCTGTCTGTGCATCCTGCACACAGTATGGCGAAGGATCGGCTCATGAATATTCATGAGGGGACGCTTCCTGACGATGACGTCACGGACGGAGATTAAAAACTGAAGAGAAAAAAGTTTTTTTTAAGTCATATAATGACTCAATATCTTTCTAAAACATAATATTTAGTGTCACAAAATAATTACAATATTTCTCAAAATGACTTCTCTAAAATAATTGTTTGATTTTTACTCGTTTCTGTCAAAACAGCTTCAATGACAAAATCAGATATTTGATGAATAAATAAATATCTTCTGATTTCATGTTTATTTTTTGTTCCATCTTTAACCCTTAACCCGTCTGAGTAAATGTAATACGAGAGGCTGAACACAGTGAGCCGTCCTCTTTCTTCACCTTTTTTTTACGTCTCCATGCGTTCACTGGTTACCCCGTGTTTAACGTAAAATTGCAATGATTTGTGGGTAATTCCCTTAGGCTAAGGGTACATCCCAAGTCTCTTAATGTCATCCCCGTTTCCCTCACTTGGGTCCTTTCCTTGCGTCCTAGTCCCTCCCACCAGGGATGCATGGAGGAAACCATGCGAGGAGAGAGGAACGAGGAGATATGTTTTAGGAGACAGGAGACGTCCTTTCCTCAGTAGCGTCACGTGAAGCGACGTCTGTTACTGATGACGGTGCTGATGATCACAGCTGATCAGCTGTCAGTCAGCTTTAACAGCTGGAGAGACTTTAGATAAGTTTGTGTGTGTTCACATGATCACTGTACTTAATAACAGTAACTAATAACACTAATAACTAATAAAGACACAGTAATCACCACTGTACTTAATAACAGTAACTAATAACACTAATAACTAATAAAGACACACAGTAATCACCACTGTACTTAATAACAG